ATTTCTGCCTTTGCAGCTTCCGTGTTTCCTGCCTGGCAACATCAAACTATTCTCCAAAGCACCAGAAGGCAGGACAAGAAACAATGGTTGGAAACTGACCAAGGAGAGAAGCAACCTGGAATTAAGGAGAAACTTCCTGACAGTGACAAAAATCAACCCGTGGAACAGAAGTTGCCTTCAGAAATCGTGGGTGCTCCATCACTGGAGGTTTTTAAGAAGAGGCTGGACAGTCACTTGTCTGAGATGGTATAGGTTCCCCTACCCGAGCAGGGGGCTGGACTAGAAGACCTCCAAGATCCCTTCCAGCTCTATTCTATCAGCAACTGGAGGTTGTAAAGGCTCTAATCTGGCTATGCCAAAAACACATTTAATACTCTTAAAAGGTCCTCAATTCTTCCTCACTAGCAGGTTGAGTGCCATCCCACGTATGGGACCATCACCCCCCCCCCCATGGTCAATCATTTTATTTTTTCCATCCAGGTGCTTTTTTTTGTAAAACACAGGTGTGGTTTAGCACTGCCTTTTCTTCACAGTATGAGTGGCTCCCTTTGCCATTGTTGCCAAAGAGATCCTCTGCCCCCAGCTGCTTTAGTGGGGCAGCTGCAGTGACCTTTGTGCCATGGGTGGCCCTGCTGGCTGGGGGCTTCTTGGCATCCACTCCCAATGTCAATCCATTGTACGCAGTGTGTGTTTTTTCCCTTCCGTTTCTGAGAGACTGCCTGGAGGAATCCCTGCAGGGTTTTTGGCAAGGTTTACCATTGCCTCCTTCCTAGGGTTGAGAGCAAGGGACTGGCCCAACATCACCCAACTGCTTTCCTGACCAAGGTGAGACTAGAACTCACAGTCTCCCAGTTTCTAGCCCGGTGCCTTCCAGCACTAGACCAAACTGGCTTTCAAGGGTGCATTTTAGAGGAAGTCAATACCTCATTTCCTTTGGACTCCTCACTGAATCTGCCCATTGGCCATTTGCTTTTGGGGGTGCTGCCACCCTCGCTCTTTTCACCTCTTTCCCCACCACCAGGGTCCTTCCCCCAGCCAGCCAGCCACCCAGGGCATGTGGGGATCTCTCCCTCCCCCCAGGAGCTGCCTTTTGGGTATTTCCTCCAGGCAGGGGGTGTGGGGGAGCCTGACGGGCGACATACCTGCTTCATCCAGCTGGGAAGAGAGGAGCCAAGGAGACCTTCCCTCCCCCCTTGCTCTGGGAAAGAGAAAGAAAGCATCTCCTGGACCCACACCAAGAGGCTATCACTGGGGGGTGGGCTGCTGCCATGGACCCCATGGAGAGGAACAGGGGTGGCACCAGGTCCCCCCTGCCACAATCCCAACCAAGCAGAGAAGGGTGGGGGCTTTCCCTCTGATTCAAGGCCTGTTCTGAGTTTTGGATTGCACAAAGGGCAGCTTGTTGTGATTGTTAGATGTACACCCTGCCCTTATTTTGTACAACTCTATGCAGCATGCATAAAGCTCCCATCTCCTATCTTCCCCACAACCAACCTCACCCACTCCCACCCTGAGAGGTGGGCTGGACTGAGAGGAATTGGCCCAAGAGGTCAGTCAGCTGGTTCTCTGGGGGATCCGTTGAGGCCCAGGAACTGGCCAGGCCTTACAACCGCATCACAAGCACATCCCAGCACACGACCGGGGGGGGGGGGGGGGG